GGGGTATGACGTAAAGAACCAGTGTAAAAGGAGGCTTCTGATGGCCTTGATTTCAGTTGGAATGAGGATGAGGAAGGTGAAAAAGAAGAAGAAGTTGTGATCAGGCATGAAGAACATGATGCTCAAAACATAGCCAATGAAGAAGAAAAAAAGTGAGAATGAGAGAGTATCTGGAGATGAGAAGGAGAGTGATACAGAGGATAAGACAGGTGAACATGCTAATAATTCTGCAGAAGAAGAAAATCAGAGTGAAGAAGAGGAATTTTCTGAAAGTGAGGGTGAGGATAAAAAAAAAGGTAAGTGGGAGTGAAGGAGGTGATGATGAGAGTAATGAAGAAGAGGGGAATGTGAGTGAGGATTCTGAAGGTTCCATGACAATTTGAAACACTGTCATAGCCTCTTCAGAAGAAATTGATGAAGAGACAAGGGCTCAAGAACCCGGGTCTCTGTTAACTCCTTTCACTGAAAATGAAGAAGTTAGCAGTGATGAAGATGATATGCCACTATCTAAGGTAGGAAAGAAGATCAAAAAGACCACTGTGAAAACTACAAAGACAACAATCTCAACAAGGAAAGGAGTGGTTCCTCCTGCTAGAACTCCCCTCACAAGGAGTAAAAGAAAAGTCGTTAATGCACAAATCATGAAGGAGTACAGAAGTGCAAAGAAGCTAATGAAGAAGGTTTTAATTGTGGAACCTGTTGTTGAGGTGGATGGAGAATATGAATCTGACTCAGCCTTGCCAGCAAAGTCTTCCACGCCAAAGAAAAAGGGAGCCAAAGTCACCAAACTTACTACCTCTTCTGCAAGGGCCAGTAGGGGTAAGACAAGAAAGAATATACCAACTGCAGTTGATCGATTCATAGAGTTTAGAAACAGAAAAATGATAAATGGGAAGATTCTTGCGAACACTGATGAGAAGCGAATGGCTCAATTGGTTGAAAAACTTGAGTTATATGGGTGGAAGTACATATTTGTCAAAGCTTTCCCCCCCATCCGAGTATGTGTTCCTGTTGTGGTGGAGTTCTACACAAATTTCACTTTTGATGGGAAGGTAGTTAAGAGTAAAGTAGGGGCTTCGACATGGAGTTTGATGCTGAGAAACTGGGGCTGCTTCTGAATATCCCTTCTTTGGGATTAGACAATTGTTTGAAGAAGAAGTGGCCAGCCATAGATAATGATGTTGACACTAGCATTGTGGTTACTAGGAAGTTCTCCCAAAAGTTTGAACTAGATGCTCCCCAGAAACTGTACAAGACTGACATGACTCCCTTTCACAAGCTACTGTTTCAGTTTTTCAGCTCTCGCATTCTTCAGAGGTCTGAGAGAAGGCATGAAGCCACTCTGCTAGACATGGCTGTGATGGAACTGCTTGACACTGATTGACCTATCAATCTTCCTAGCCTGATGATTCAGCACATGGCAAGAGTTGCGGATACTTCCAAACCAAAGCATGATATGCCATATGGTTTCATGTTGACTGAGTTATTTGACAAGCTCAACATTGCCTTGCATGAGCTTAAGTTTGGAAACCACAATGATTTTTTGGATGTTGTTACCCTCAAGCAATGTGGCTATGAGGAGATCAAGGCTAGAAGACCTACATAATCTGCCATTCTTCCTGGGAGCAGTAGGGTTGTAGAACTTAGCAAGAGGTTAGAGTTGGTTGTTAAAGAGAATGCCAAGCTTCGTGAGGACAATAATGAGTTGATAAAGGAAACAAAGAAACTCAGGGAAGTGCTCAGAAGAGACAAGGAGGCTTATGCTCAACAGATTGCTACCCTTGTGAAAGCTTTGACCTCCTCTGCTTCTCACCCTTGAACCAGTTCCTTCCCACTGTCCTTAGTTCTTTTGCTATTGTAGTGATGCTTTATCTTTTGTTCCTTTTGTCTTAGTCTGAGTTGTTGGTAGTATGCTTAGTTTATTTTTTTCTAATGATAATGACAAGGCCCTGCGCTTCTTTTGGCACTACTTAATGTCTCTTACTGCTCTACTTTACTGATTTATACTCTATTGGATTATCAACCTAGTTTATTTGCCTTTTCTTATGCTTGTATTGTCGCATGTTTGGCCATGAATCTTACATTATATGTGCTTAATGTCTAACATGTGTTTGTGTTCTTTCGATGATGCCAAAATGGGGAATAAGATTGGAAGGTTGGTGGGTTGTGAACATACATGTATGTCAGAAGTGCTTGTTGTGATCATCTAGTTCTTAGATGTGATTGCCTGGTACTGTGTATAAAGTTTGTCATCATCAAAAAAGAAAAATTCGTTGAGTATTAATGTTTTGATGATTAACAAAGTGTGACTACCTGCTCAAAGAACCAGGTCCTCAATATAGTTGCTTAACTGTTGTGAAGAACCAGCTCCTCAGGTTAAAGGATTAGCTCCTAAGGGTGGATACTTGTACGTATGAACAAGACATTAACTTCATCTCAAAGTTACCCATGTCCGAGTTTGGTGGAAGATGGTTTCTATAAGTAATAAGGGTCGTTGCTCAAGAAGATACAGATAAGTAAGCTCAGAGACAAAAGTCCCAAAGCTTGTGAAATCCTTGGAACAGTAGGAGTCCTATCAAAGAGGAAGCTGACTATGAATAGGACTCGTAGAAGATCTCAAGTCATGTTTAAATAGGATTGACTTTGGACTTCTGAACTATCCTTTCACACATCAACTAAAGTGTCATAAGTTGTTTTTACTTGTGTTGAGTACTTGCTTTGTATTCTTCCGAGTCAGTCTAGTGAATGTATTTTAGGAAATTGAGTTGTAATAAAACGTCATAAACAATTAGTGAGTTGGATTGAATATTTTATTTTACAAGTTAGAGTAACTTATGAATCAAATAGGAGTAGTAGGAATACTGGAGAGTATTGAATTACAGCCTTGTAATTGATACATTTTGGCTCATTGTTCTAGTGGAGCTGGAGTTGAAAATACTACGTGGTAGGTCATGTTTTTTGCACCTTTTGAGCCGGGTGATTTTTCACCTAAAAATCACCGTGTTCATTGTATTGCTTATTTACTTTACGGTTAAGGAACACAGTAAAGAATCAAGTTCTTCAGTAATCCATACGGGCACTCAAACTAACAAGGTGTTCATTTTGTGGTGAGTTGTTTATCTTTCTTTCTGGTTTATGTTTTTATTGAGGAATTTACGCAAAATATAATATATTTAAAACTTATTTTAAATAAATTATAATTACTTTTACAAAATTACAAAAATATACTCCTTCCTTCTCAAATTATCTGTCATATTTTTCTTTTACACGGCCCTTAAGAAATATTAATTAGAAGGAGTTTTTTTTAATACTATTTTATCCTAATTTATGTCTTAAGATATAATTTATCTTCCTTAAATATCTTATTCTATTTATGTGACATCTCCATCTTCAAGAACCACTACTACTAAGGGTAAAATGAGAAAAAAATAATTAATTTAGTCTTGAACTTCTAAAATGACAAATAATTTGAGACAACTACTTTTAGAAACCACGATAGATAATTAGACCTCTATGTAACAATCATCCTGTAAAATAACACTTTACTATAGCTGCTAAGTTTACTTTGCAACTAAAATTTCATATTATGTTATGATATATGTTCTCTATATAGTTGGTCCGACTATTCTTAGTCAGTTGCAAACGAAAACTAGATGGAATCTTTATATAAATAGCCAGTCAAATTTACTATAATACTCTTTCTAGTCAGTATACATAAATTATATAATAATTATATATATATATATATATATATATTTATATTTAAGCGCTTGAGTAGACAGCTACTTAAGTTAATTCTTTTTTTTTTTCTCAACGTAAACAAAAACGAGATGAATTATCAAAGGAAAGTACTCATCAAGCCGAATGGACGAGGGGAGGTACACAAATAGCTATTTTTAGGAGTGCTATTTAAGAATTAACCAGTACTTATTTTGTCTTTGGAAATTTAAACTAAAAATCTTAACTTTAGGACTTTGTGTCCGAAAAAATTAAACTAAAAAATTGAAATTCATGACACATTGGCTAATTTCTAAAGGAACAACCCTCTAGAATGTCTTCCGGATGTCATTTCTGCAATGAACGATTGAGTCACTTCCTACTCAACCCAACCCAATAACCACTGAAAACATTGCGGATTCTACTTACCATCTTCACAGAGAATCTTTTTTATTCTTATTTTCATTTCAATCAAATCCGTATGAATATGACAAATGAATATATCTGACATGAATAATAACAGATTATCTGGATAAGTTAGAGTGTCTATGAAAAATTTCAGATCAAAAGGTTAGGAGCTGAGAAATAGCATTATGTGTAGTCTAGCTCTTATTTTAATTATCTCAATTAGCTAAATTGTAAGAAACTACAATAAGATGTGACAAAACACCAGAAGAAAGTAGCTTATGCATACACAATATCAACTTATCAAAAAACAAAATTAGCTGATAAACAATTTACATCAACCTATGATAAAAATTAAGCACCCAAACAAGAGCTTCAAAATCACTTTGAAGTATCGTGTTTAATTGTATTATCTTTTGAACATTTGACTACCTAAGGTATTTGGAGTACTTAAATCACCTTTAGCTTTGGCTACTCAGATACGATCTCTCACATTGTCTTGTCTTCTCATAATTTTTACCTAAAGGCGACCTTTATCATTTAATTCATTCACATCCCAATTAAGATAAGAATGTTTTCCATTTTGGACGTCCTAAAATGTTTACGTTATTTCATTTTTATGCAATTTGCACAATTTCTAAGAACTCAAATTCTTCAAACTTTTCAATCCTAAATTTTGATGGAATGTTTTCCGTATCATGGTTCTTTTCAATTAATAATTTTGTCATAACAACCGATATAATATATAGTCTAAGTCAAATATTATCATGTAAAATGAAACGAGTTACGTAATATATTTTTATGATATAACTTCTAAGGTTTGTATTAACAACTTCAAGAGGACCAAGTGTCACAACTCAAAAGTTCGGTAAGAAGAGGCGGAGCCAAGATTTGAACCTTATGAGTTCGGGATTGTAATATTTTTAAGTTACTGGGTTCTAAATTAACAAGTTGTACTTATTCAATAGATTTTTTAAGACAAATACATAATTTAAACAAAAACTACTGAGTTTCCGAACCTGCGTCCCGCGCTCGGCCTCCGCTCCTGTCGGTAAGCATATGAGTTGTTCTTGGTAATTGAAGCAGGACAAAAGAGAATTATTCTTAAGTTGTAACAAGCAAATAGAAGAAATAAAGGAATGGTGGAAGAGATTACCAACTTAAAACAACTTCAAGATGATCTATTGGGTGAACGGAAAGTAGGAGAGTAGTAGTACAAATAAAAGGACAATAAGAGTCAAATGTCATCTCGTGATAAAGTAAGAAAAGAAAGGGAGAATCCATTAATCCAAATATCCAATGGTAGAGGTTCTAAATTGAGATGTAAAGTTGCGGAGACACGGAGCCGTTCGAACCCAAACTTTGGAACACGACAGGAAAAAAATGCAGACGCTTCATATTTCTTCTTTTTCCTCACGAGCCTCATAATCTTCTTTTTTTTTCCGCGGGATAACCCGGTGTATAAAGTATTTCGTATTCTCGCAGAGTACGGGGAATGACGCACCCCTAGGAATGCAATTTAAATCACATACCTTAATGCAAACATTAATGGCTGCTTCCACTGCTCGAAATTGTGACAAATTAGATGGATCAAACCATCTAATTTTTGTTTTATTAGAATTTGAATTATGATCTAGTGTGATTTTATTTTAACTTTATCAACAGTTAAACTACATTCTTTGATGCTACAGAGCCACATATGGATATGGCAACAAATATAATATGATATTACAAATCATTTTGTACATAGTTATTTCCTCTCAATCATTTTATGTGACAATTTTTTTTAATTTGTCGCGAAGAGATTGATATATCTCTATATATGGCATGTTTGTGGAAAAACTTCTTAAACTTGGTGTCCTTTCAAGACTACCAAAGAATAAAAAATATTGTCGAGTTGTACTTATTATTAGGAAAAAAGTACTCCTACTTAATACTTAAGAGTACTTGAAACATTAACTAACAAAAAATTTTAAATCTGCTTTTGGATACAGTACAGCCACTGTATTCTACTACACTAACCACACTTGCTTAACCATAGTTATTCTTTCTCCTTCACTTTGTCTATATTATATCGCTTCCCCATTTCTCTCTAGTCGTAGACCCTAGTGTGAAGAAAGGTGGACTCTGAAATAGAAAAAATAGTTTTCTCCTAGAAAAATGAGCTGCAATGGTTGTAGAGTATTACGAAGAAGATGCAGTGACAATTGTACCTTAAGGGCGTGTTTGGATGGAATTGATGATCCTCGCGCTCAAGCTAACGCTACTCTTTTTGTTTCCAAGTTTTTTGGGCGTAGCGATCTCATGGCCTTCATCGCCGCTGTTCCCGAAAATCGAAGACCTGGTACTGCTACCAAACACACCCCTACCACGAATTTCCTTTTTTATTTTTTATTTTATTGAGTTTTATATTCTAAAAAAAGAAAAGAAAAGGAAAATGGATATTTACCTGGCTGATAAATTGATGAACTTTATCTCACAGCTTTGTTTAAATCGCTTTTGTTCGAAGCGTGCGGGCGGACGGTGAATCCGGTGACCGGTGCGGTTGGGCTGTTATCGACGGGTAACTGGCACGTGTGTCAAAAGGCGGTGGAGACGGTTCTCGTTGGTGGCAATCTACGGCCAGTTTTTGCCGGAATTCTTACTCCTTACATGAACGAGACCTTCGAATCCTTCCGCTGCGGCGGCGCGTGGGATATTCCAAATCAGTTCTCAAACAAATCCGGATCATTTACTGATGGATCGGATCACATCGATACAACGGAGTGGGTCGGTTTGGAGAAGAGATGGAACACGACGTCGTCCATAGGTTCAGAGACTGAGTTATCGGATGTGTCACTGGGTTTGGATAGTGGTAATAAAGAGCCAAAACTGCTTAATCTCTTCGTTTGAGATACTTAGAAGTAGGAATAATAATAGTTAATTTCCAGTTGAGTTTTGATGTTTTGAGTTTAAAGTCAGTTGGAATTTTATCGGAAACTGTTATTGATCTCTAAATATGAGAGATCTTGAGTCAATTCCCTAACTTGGTTGAGACGTTGCTTTGTCATACTGACATCTTTTTTGGCTGAATAAATATGAATGAAATAAATACGACTTCTACTTTTTATTTCGTCTTATATGATTATGCCACAATTCCACCCCAGCTTTATCTAGGATTGGAACGTAATTGTTGTTACATAGTAAGTACAATTTTCAGTCTGTTGCAAAATTGATTTTACAAAATCAAGTTCGTAACGTCATCTCTATTCACCAAATACAAGAGTACTAAGCCCTACTTGGCGGGCAGTTTGGTGCACTAATCTCTTATTATGTGCGGGATCCGGAGAAGGGTCAGACTACAAGGGTCTATCGTACACAGTCTTATCTTGTATTTCTGCCAGAGGCTGTTTTCACATCTTGAACCCGTGACCTCCTGGTCACATAGTCCGGCCCTTTCCCGAATTCCGCGCAGAGCAAGAACTTAATACTAAGTACTACTTACCAAAAGGAAAATCTATTCACAGTCAGTATAACAGATATATGTGCTCTATATTTAGTGTAGTAATAAGATAAATATTAGATAGCTTGAGTTGCGTCAAATGGTGTGACCTAGTAGTCAATTAAATGAGTTGAAAAACCCTAAGAGCTCAGGTTTAAGCTAGCGTTTGGCCATAGATTTTCAAATTTATTCTGAAAAATCTGATTTGGGTGAAGTTTGGTTTGAAGATGAAAATGTGTTTGAACATCAGTTTTCAAAATATATTTCCCAAATTTATTTTGAAAAAACATGAAACATGGCTTATACCCACAAGTTCTAAAAACTATCACAAATACCCAACAGTACCATTATCAATAACATTCGTTATATTATCGCAAACCATAGTCCTGAACATAAATAAATTTGATATAAAATTATCATTTTTATAATGAACTATATGATACACTATCAGGTTACCGAGAAGACGAAGCAACATTGTTACAAAATAATAAATGGTGGACTCTTTTATAAAATATAAAAGTTTGGGGCAATTTTAGAAAAATACAATAGTGATATTTTGGCCCAAAACCAGCTATTAAGCTGGTTTTGGGATTTGAAATTTTGCCAAAATATAAGCAAAATCTATGGTCAAACATGTGTTTGCCAAATAAAATCCAAATTTATTTTGACAAAATCTGTGGCCAATCGGGTCCTAAGTCTCAGTGGAGACAAAATAGATTAGGCAATTTATTTCCATATGTCCGAGCCTTGGTAGATAAAATTATTTAATATCTGTGAATCTGCTATAGTAGAAGATATAAAATTAGTGATAGTGCGCATAAACTGGCTCAGGCATACATAAACTATGATTATGAAAAAGAAATAGATAGCTTGAGTACTATTCAGCAATTGCTTCTCCGCATAAGCCGCACAATGGGTTGTATGCGTAGAGAAGAGAAGACTTTGTGCGGAAGCAAAGAGGCTCTACATGTTTAATTTCCGTTTGGGCATAAAGTATGTTAATTGTGATCAAACTAATAATATTTGCATGACTATAAATTAAATATTTCTTATTAATGTATTCAGTTTTGTGAAACTTGGCCAGAATATTTTACACTAGTTTTTTCCTACTTTACCAAGTTCATGCTCAAACTGACTGTAATGTTGAGATAAAGGGTTTAGTTTTAACCGTAGTACCGCACAACTAAACATAAACGTCTCCCAAGTTTAAACAAGGATTACTCCAATTGGGTATTAGACACATTTCGCAATCATGGACTTATTGAAAGGTTAAGTGTGAGCTGTCACAATAAAGAGGTAAATGAGACCATCATAATATCTAGAGAACTATACAAATCTCATCACTCACAGTCACACTCAACTAATTGCATACATAAAAGGGTTATACTTTGAAGAAAGGAAAGAACTCATAAGTGGAGAACATCAAATATGTGCCAAAGCTCCATTAAAGAACCGTCTTTAATTTCATCACAACCAATAGATAGTCAACATGCAAATGTATCGATAAAGTTCATACTTCAATTCAATACAAGGGAAAGGAACAAAGTATTGTTTTGTACTCTAATAATAATAATAATAGAAGTTGACCTATGTATACAGTAATTTTCTGGCACAGGCTGTTCAATTGAACATTCTTACTTGGCTGTAGGCGCTTGAAGCTTCGCCCATGTTCCTTATATCTAAACAAGAAAAATGTTACTACCTTTTTATCTTTTGCAACTTTTTTTTCTCTCATGACCACGAGGACATGTTTAATATCATACGTTTCAAATATTTTTTTTTCTTTTTTAAAATTCGTACTCAACCAAACTATATCACATCAATGGAACAGAAAGAGTAATTCTTTCCCACGTTTTTCTTTTGTTCGTTTGTATGTGACAGCAATTTATATAGTAATCTAGGATATAAATATGTGAATTTTTGTAAGCAAAACTAATTATTATATTGGGATGATACATTTGCCTTTTGGGAAGGGAAGAATTGAAAAAGGGTTGGAAGAGAGAAAGGAGAGGTGGAGGAGAGAGAGACCTATTCAAAAGACATGCGATACACATCAGCGTGGGGTCCACATTTTAGCTTCCCACCTTCAGCAGTGGGAACCACGTCACTTGAATTTACTTCCTTCTTCTATTCGGACAAAAGCAGATTCGCTAGCGGTTGCCTCTCGCCGCATCCGCCTGAGTGGGTCCCCCTGTTTTTGTTTTCTATTCTCCACAAACACTTGACCATGGTTGAGATATGTGGTTAAACTCTGCATTTTTTCCTCTTCCCAAATCACCCCATAATGAAGGAGTCCGGAACCAAAAAGTGTGGAAAAAAAAATATAGTGATCTTTTTATATATAATGCTCTTTTAAAGGGCGCTATATTTTAACGGGCAAATACCGTTAAAGTATAGCGCCGTTTAAAAAGGCGTTATATTTGAATCCATATAACGCAGGAAAAACAGATAAATAGAATTTAATGTATCCAAAAAGGAGTAGAGTACTAGGTGGTGCAATGATTAAAGACTAGGTATAAAATTGGTTTTGGCTTTGAGGTCCGGGTTCGCATTATTTTGTTTTCCTATTTCTTTTACATTTTTCTTTTCTTTTCATTATTTTATTTAAGTATTTAGATATAAATACTTTAATATTTAAAATTACTTTTCAATGTAATTAAAATAATTTCATATTTATTAGAAAATTATGATTTTTGAATTCATTTAAAGTAAAAAAAAAAAAGAAGCCTTTTAATTATTTCGTTAAAAAATCTACCGACATTTTAAATAGTTGTTATTTTGTATTATACGTAAAACAAAATTATTTTTTCCTCCTTTTATTTTTAAATTAGATTATGATTTTTATTATATAGTCAAAATTTTCATAAGAGAATAATATATATAGTTTAATCTATTGCTTGAATTTTTTTATTTTTTGATATCTTTCTTTTTAAATTTAATTATTAAAATTTTAGTTATATTTATACTCTATGAATTTTATTAATCGAAATTCTAATTATAAATCTTATAATTTTCTTATTATTAAATATAAATTATTATAACTATTTAATCTTTAAAATTATAATCGAAGAATTATTATTATCTAAGTAATGGATTATGATTTTCATATTCTTATTAGGACAATTAATTAAATAATTGTTCATAAACTAAATAGTTATAATACAATTTAGTTTATGAAAATTTTGTATAGAAAAATTTATTAAATGTTTTTTCATAAATTAAATGGTTATATTTAATTTAGTTTAGGATAACTCTTATTAGAAAAAATTTAGTCTATAAGCAACCATTTAATTAGTTTTCCTAATAAGAATATAAGAATTATATTCCATTACTTAGATAATAATAATCCTAATGGATTATAAGGAGAACCATAATCTTATTTAAATTTTTTAAATGGACAATACAATTACAATAGCCAAGGAATAAAAGGAGAAATAAAAAATACATTTCAGGAAGAATATAAAAAATATAATTAGAATTTTGATTAATAACTAAAATTTTAATAACTAAATTTAAAAAGAAAAATCTTAAAAAATAAAAGAATTCCAAGCAATAGATTAAACTATATATATTATTCTCTTATGAAAATTTTAACTATAAAATAAAACTCATAATCTAATTTGAAAAATAAAAGGAGAAAAAAATAATTTTGTTTTACGTATAATACAAAATAACAACTATTAAAAATGTTGGTAGATTTTTTAATAAAATAATAAAAGGCTTCACTTTTTTTACTTTAAATGAATTCAAAAATCATAATTTTCTAATAAATATGAAATTATTTTAATTACATTGAAAAGTAATTATAAATATTAAAGTATTTATATCTAAATACTTAAATAAAAAAATGAAAAGAATAAAAAATGAAAAAGAAATAGGAAAATAAAATAATGCTGGTAGAAGGAATTGAACCCTGGACCTCAAAAGCCATAACCAATTTTGTACCTAACCTTTAACCATTGCACCACTCAGCACTCTACTCCTCTTTTGATACATTAAATTCTATTTAGCTGCTTTTCCTGCGCCATGTGGATTCAAATATAGCACCTTTTTAAAGGGTGCTATACTTTAACGGACAAACGGCCATTAAGGTATAACGCCCTTTAAAAGGGCGTTATATATAAAAAGGTCACTATATTTTTTTTTCCCACACATTTTGGTTACTGAGTCCCTCAGTTATACCAAAAAAGGGTGCTACATATAGTTCAAATTTAGCATTTTAGGCTCAATATCTAGTCAATATCATCTTATAAAATAATACAGAGTTATTAAAATTTTAGGGTCAATTACTTGGATTTATGCCTAAAGGGCAGCCCGGTACACTAAGCTCTCGCTATGCGCGAGGTCCGGTAAAGGACCGGACCACAAGGGTCTATCGTAACATTCCTGCAAGAGTCTGTTTTCACGGCTCGAACCCGTGACCTCCACGTACTTGAATTTATGCCTAATTAAGCAAAATACAAAAGACAAAAGTTTTAAAAAAAATGTTGGAAACCTTAACTGCAACAAGATTATTTATACATCAAGTTTTAGCAAACCTAGTTTTCGATCCGAAAGCTTCTAAACCCCGAGGGCGTACCAACAGTTTAGTTATGGGTTCAATTGAACGCATAACTTTTATTCTAGAC